AATGATCAAAATAGTATTTAAACTTAATATAAATAAATACTAATTTTAACGATTTTTCGTAAAATATCAATTAGGTATCGGTATTATATCTATGAATCTAAGATCCTTGATATTTTTGTGGGATATAAAGCTTCTAAAATTTACCTAATTTCATGTGGGGTCTAGCACAACTAATTAAAGAAGACTTCACCGAATTAAGAAGACTTTATTTCGTTTAAAATATGATTTATAGTTGGCTATATATACCTCACATATCAATTATGAAATCCAACCAAAAAAAGGGAAAATGAAAAGAAAAAGGAGTTCCAATTGCAACTCAATAATTCGAGAAGTTCTTTTACTACTCATCCTTGTGTTGGCCATGATAACAAATGTAAGATCAACTCCCACAGGTATGTTTTTTCAATTAAAATTGTTGTATAAATTATTTGTTGTAACTTAATTTGTTTTGATAAATAAAAATAAATAAAAAAAGTAGAAGGAAAAAAAATCATTGTTGTCTTTTTAAATTTCAGATGAGATGTTTGGAAGATCAAATGATGTCAAATACAATCCTCAAGATTCCCCTCGAGGTCATGGAAGTCATGGAGGTGAGAGAGGGCGTGGTGGGTGAGCCACAAGGAGATTTCTTTTATCAAATACTATTTTAATCTCTGTATTCTGTACTTTTATCTTTTGTTCAATCTTAATTTTTATTTTTGTATTTTTAAACGTTCGTTTTGGTTTTTATACTTTTAACTTTTGTTTATTTTAGTCTATGTACTTTCTCGATATTGGTTTGGTATCTCTACTTTTAATTAAAAGTTATTATGTTGGTTCCTTCATTTTCATTTTGGTTAGGGGTGTTCACGGATTGGGTTGGATCGGATTAGGGAAATTTTTTGGACCAATCCGAATTTTTGGGTTGGCCAGATCAGGGAATTACAAGAACCAAATGTAATGGCCAACCTAATCCAGCCTAGTCACGATGTAGGAATTAAAAAAGACAAGTTAAGATTCATTCGGCTTCAATACTCAGCAAGAGAAAATAATTCACTCACGGGCATGTGCTAAGATAGCTTTGAAATGGGTAACAATAGGGGAACTAGGAAGTACCATGAGAGGCATAGACACGACAGCAACGAGCGATAGCCAACGGCTACGAGCGAGCCTTACTACACTACGAGCGATGGACAACAGCTACACTGAGATCGAGATGATGAGATCTATACTTAGAGTCGAGAGAGGCTGAGATTGAAAGATCACGAGTGATGAAATTGTGAAAGAGGTGAGATCTAGATTGAGATATGAGATCGAGATTCGAGATTCAAGAGAGGAAAAAGACTGAGATGAAGATCTATAGGAGAAGAGGATGAGATTGAAAGTCCGAAATGAAACCCTAAAATATAATAATAATAATATATAATTTCACTTCGGATTAAACCGATTCTTTTATCGAACTCGCGAACTAAATCGGACCTCTTGCTTCACAAAAATTGTAACACAATCCAAATGGAGCTTTTATCTAACCCAACCCAACCCAATTCTTATGGTTCGGGTTGGTCTGCTGGGATTTTTTAGATTGTCGATTTTTTTTAACACCCTACGATCAATAGGTTCAAAACATGTGAAATTTTTATATAATTTAACCATCGTTTTCTATCACAAGCACGGATGATCTATGAAATTTATAAATAATTAAAGAGATTCTCTTACAAAGATGGACTTAAGGTTTTTTTCTTTTTTTTTTATTTATTTACTTTTTTTCTTCTTTTCCTTTTTTTTTTTTTGTGTTTGTAGACAATGATAAATATTCATTAAGAATATTATCTCAATAAAATATCTGTTAGTAATAATGGATATATACATGACAATTAACTTTCAGAGACTAGATTTGGTAGGATGTTTCATCATTATTAAAAGTCTTCTATAATTATCATTAATTTTATAAAATAAAATTATCAAACTTATTTTCAGTAATTAATAACAATATTCATAATCTATAAGTAGAGTGGACAAATTTTAATGGTCGTTTTTTTTTTTTGGCCATCTTATTTCATGGAACATATCAAATCTATAAGTCTATTCAGAGCAAGATTTTACGAGTTCTAATAGTCAATAATTTATTGACATATTTTTTTCTTCAGTTTGAATTCATTACTATCATTTATTAGTGTTCCTTTTCTTAAATTGAAGGTAGCATTATTAAATTTTCTTCAATATGTTCATGAATTCAACATTAACACGAGAGGTGAATCAACATTTTTATTATATCACAAAATAAGATTGATAAAATATTAAAATATCAATTTTTTAATTTATTTTAAAAGAGTGAAATATTTATTTATTAATTAAAATAATCGTTATAAATATTTTATCTTTATAACTTTTTTAGATATTTTTTATTAACATTTTTATAAAATTGAGATATCTATCCACGTCAACCTTGAGTACTCCAAAAGAAAAAAAAAAGGAAAAAAATCCAATATCTTGATAGATATGCTCCAAACTTTAAAAAATTAAAATTAAAAAATTAAGAAAAAAATAACTATGGACTGACCCTCTTCAATTATTGATCAAATATAGTAGACCTTATTGTCTGATTCGTATCTCAATTCTTCCTTATTCTTGACCCTTGGCCAGTCCAGTTCAAAGAAGCGAATGTCCGAACTCGGCCTAAATCATGTCCAACCCAAAGAAATATGTCCATAGTCCAATCCATGATTCTAATTCAATAGGAACATTGGATCGGATTTGGATTAATCAATTGGAATTGGCTTGAATAAGCCCATATAATAAATTATTTTTAATTAAAATTTTATTTTTTAAATATTTTTTCAAACCAAGTTCGTAAGTTTTAAAAATCGTATTTTTATTTTATATTTTTGTACAGTTTTTTTCAAAAGGTTATCTATAAATTTTGTTAAATATCATAGTTTTACAACTTCATTTGTTTTATTTTTAAAGAAATAAATTAAATTACTATATTAATATAAAAAAAATTAGAGGAATGAGAATGACAAAAAAATAATCCTAAAAACTAATTAATTATAATTAATATATGTTTATATATATACAATATGTAATAATATTGGATTATATATATTACATCAGGTCTTTGGGTCGACCCAACGGACCGATCCAAATACAGTAGATCCATATCCAATCCAATTTTTGTATAGACTGGGTTAGATCGAGTCGGTCAAATATTGACTTTGAATTGAGCCTAAGCTAGACTTGGGTCGACCTTTGGACTTCGAACTCGATGATGAGACTGACTTATTCGTGTATAATTAAGGGGTCTTAAGGTACGTTAAAGGTATGGTGTTTAATTATGATAGCAATGTGAGTTCAAAAAAATTATGATAGGAATGCTATCAGACTTTTATGATATATGGAATCAATTCCAAAATTTTTATAATTAAAAATAAATTAATTTATTATAATTATATAATCATAATAATTTATTAATTTATGATAATTAAATAATTATTATTGAAATTATATATACATTCAAAATAAAAAAGGAAGGAAAAGAAAAGAGGCAAAGATAAAACCCATGATTTTATACTCTTCTTTATGAGAAAAGGGATGTTGGGAATAAATTATTCTTACCCATTCTCATCCCTCAAAACCTTGACAAAGTCATTTTCTTTCCCACCATCTCATAAAAAATTAATAATAATAATAAATTTAAAATTTAAAAATATAAAAAAAAAATTAAATTTCATTTTAGTCTTCAAAACTTTCTAGATTTTTCTATTTTGGTTCCTGCATTTTTTTTATATTTATTTGAATCTCATATATTTTTTACCTGAATTTTTTATTTTATTATGTTTTAATTAACTTTCAAAATATCCTTATATTTATTTTGCATTTAACCATCATTTACTAATATAGTAACGAATTTTGAGCTTTGCATATATGGCAAAATATTTTAAATTTGATTCTTTCGATTTTAGTTATTCTTATTTTACCATCGCATATCGAATCCTATATGTATACACATTTACATATTAGCTTTCATTAGCTTTCATATCAGGTGTATTAGATATATCGTTGGTATTTCAACACTCATAATCAGGTATATCGATGATTTTTTTTCCTTTAGTAATATAACAAATTAGGTATATTAGTGGTATATCAGAATTTAAATAAGTATAGAAGATAGACGATATTTAGGTTATAAAATGACAAACATTTCATCTAAAATCTATAAATAACACAACAAAATTTAATAAGATAAATTGAAACAGTAAATAGAAGTAGTATATCAGGTACGTCATTGGTATATCAATACTCATAATTAGGTATATGTCAATTGTATATCAATGGTATATCAAATTAGATATATCATTATTTGGGCTTCATTTTCATTAAGAGTATATTGGATTTTTGCTTTCTCCTACCTGCGTTGGCCTCCACATTTTGCTATTTTTTGTAAAGTTGAAAACTTGTTGCTACCTTCTCAAGCGTTCTAAATTATATAAATACTACTTTTTCATGTAAAATAAACATAATTTATATTAGAATTAATTACTAGATAATGAATTTTCTCCTCAAGGATCTTCCCCACCAGGTCAAGGATGGAGAAGACGTCCGACCCCGCTCCGTCCCATTGTCAAGGTCAAGGATGGAGAAGATATCTGATCCCGCTCCGCCTCATTGCCATCTCTAACAGTAGATGTCATGTGCCACTAGTTTAAGCTATTTTGTAGTAAAATATAACTTGGTTTTGTCGTTACTCAAAGAGAGTGTAAGGGTTTCTTTTTAGTACAATATGTAGGGGTGGAAGATCGAACTCAGTGTATAAGGTTCTTTTATGTGGTCCATTGTATTATGTTTTTGAGTGGCTATAAATAGTGAGCTACCATGTAAATGATTTTCTAATTAATAAAAAATAAGATTAAATATATAATTCAATCTTAATATTTTGATCGTTTTTCAATTTTATTCATGATTTTCAATCGAAGTTCTTGTTGTCACCAAAACGTTAACATAAGTTCATATAATGATGATGTGACGTCAAATTACACTTATTTTTAATTGAGTTGGATATACTATGTTATGAAATAGACATATTCACATCCATGAAAATGAAATACATGTCCATTTTGCGTGACAACTTAGAACATGTTATTAAAAATACTTTTATACTAACAATTTCAAAAAAGAAAATGCTTTTTCAATTCACAAATCTCATCATTAAATCTGGTCACATTAGGAGATTCGAAGAAAAATTCAATACATAACATATAAATTGGAAAGATATATACAGAGGATGTTTAGTATAAAATTTCAATCCTTTGAGATACCTATAGGAGTGCAAAATTGTTACGAGTGTATTATCTTCATTCTAGTTTATTTTTTATTTTATTTTTTTTCCTTTTTTTATTTCTTTTCTGAGTACTCATTCTTGATTCCAGTCTAGTTGATTTGAACTCTGTAATAAATTATTATTTTAGTTCTTATGATAATCTCAATATTATTTTGGTCTATATAATAATTATTATTACTTTAGCTATTTCAAGGTGTTCATATTCATTATCAATGAGAAGTTTTTTTCAGCTAACATTTTAAGTTTTGAATATATTAAAGTGTGAGTTGAATAAGAAAATATAGAAAATCGATTAGGTACTCACTCAAAAGAGGAAACATGTCACGCAAAAAACATTTAGACAACTCTGTTAGCTCTACTTTTCACTCAACTCGAACTTAAATACAAAAAAAAAAAAAAAAAATACAATTAGCAATTTTAACATTATACTTAAAACACCTCTCTCCCATGACATATATAAAAAATCTGTAATTTTGGGATTAGAATATAATTCATTACAAAGGTAAGAGTAAGAGTGAGAACTAATTAAGACCTACTACCAAAAGACATGTTATGTTATACAAGAATAGAAAAAAACTTAGATGACCTACCGTAATCAACCAATTGAAAGTTGGTCGGTTATAGACTCCAACAGTCTATGATCAGCTTGGCATTTTAAAAACCAACCCGGTGATCAGTCGATCCACTCTAAGCTAAATAAAACCAACCGACTGAAAATGATACACAAAATTATACACATACACGAAACGTGTTTTATCTTTTATAGTGTTTAGGGTACGGTTTCTTCTATTGTTTTTTTAACGCATCAAACCGACGCCGACCGACTAGTGATCACACCTAAGTCATAGGATGATATGTTGGGATAGGTTTAGCCAAACTATAGTTTCTTTAGGGAAAAAAATGTGCAAACTATGGTGACTATAATAAAATCATCGACCTAGCTATATGAATGATGGCAAACGACACATTCAGCCAAACTACTCTAAAGTGACTCTAATAAAATTTATTGAATGTTCATGTCCATGTTCATGTTCATCATCATCCATCAGTCATCACAAAATCTCATCACTTTTTACCATACAATTGGAAACGAAATCTCTAACTTGATTAATCAGCTTAGAACTTTCAGGCAATTCAGGGAAGAGATAGAAGGCATGAATCATATTGGGATACTCAATCAGATCAACTTTCTTACCTGATTCCTTCAACCATTTGTAGTATCTTCTCTGTCGATCCTTCAATGGATCGAATCCCCCAACGAACACCACCGTTTCCGGAAATTCCAACTCCGATATGTCCTCCGCGTTCGGTCCGCTCACATTCGCCGCGAAATGGTCGCGATTCGATCCTTCCGGCAGAAACGCCTTCCACAGCCAATCTGTTCT